AAAAAAAAAAATCCTGTTGAGCAAACCAAATTGATGATATTGTTGTTTTGCCAACAAAAGGAAAAGACACTTAGGATCAAAGCTTTCACTGAGATTGGCTTATAGTCACAAATAGTAAGTTGTCAAGTTAAAATTGGGACTCAGGGTATTCTGTTGATATGTATAATCTCTTTATATTTTAGAATACTAGCTAATCACTATAGATTGGGAATTTTCCTATAGTGTTAAAGCAGCTTTGCCAAACTGAGTGTGTTCAGGAAAATGTTTACATACAGTGCTCCAAATGTCTCCCCATTCTCTGTCTGATTCATTGAATATTGACACATATGTGCTGTTGGGCTCTTCCAGTGGGTTGTGGTAACTTTTTGTTGAGGTCTCTCAGCATGGGTCTGCAATCTTCTTCGCTAGGACCACACCAGGGTGGGCGCAGACACCTCTCAGGACATCCAGCTCTTTGGCATAGGGATTCAGCCCGAGCACTGTGAGATTGACATTGCGCCTGATGGAGATATCACGCTCACTCCGAAAGAGAATGCCAGGTAAGGACAGTGAGGGGCCACTCAGCCCGGCTAGGTACCTCGTTTGCAGGACTAGCCTGCCCTTTCTGTTCGTTCAGTTGTGTCAAAGTCAAGGCTGCCCGGGTCCCTGGGGCTTCCTTTCTGACTGTAGAGTAACTTTAGAGTACTGAAGAATCACTTTAGGGTAGGCAGATTCTGCCTCACTGGCTGGGTGATCCTGGATAAGACACATCTCTTTTCTCAACTTCAATTTCCTTCTGTAGTAGATGTAGTTAATAGTAAGAAAAATATGACACATTTAAATGAAGAAAATTGGTTGTTGTTATTCAATGTATAGTACTCAAAAGCTGAGTCAGATAATTCTATTTTATGAAAAATTCCTAATCCAAGCTATAATATGTAAATTTGAGGATTGACAGGACAGTATATTAATGTAAGCTACAAAAAATATTTTAATAAAACATCTAATTTCTATTAAATGATGTCTTGAATCATTTTATAATCTTTTATAAAGTTTTAGTGAGGGCCTATAGCAATATTCATTAACACAAAAACATAAAAAAATATTGTAACATTCAAAGCATTTATTTTGATGAGAACATTGCACTCAAATTATTCTGTTAAATTGGTCATATAAATTTCAAGAGATGAAAAACTGAGACTCAGATTAGCATACACAATGCATGAAAATACATAGCCCTTGTGTTAATAGTGTTAATAGTGATGTAATTGGGAGGATAGTAACAGTACGATGATGTTATGCCTTAGTTTTCTAAACCTAATTGGCCTTTAACTATATATTATCTCTCCCCACTTTAGAAGCCCTTGAGTTTTCCCGCAGTTTTATTGAAGTGTAACTGACAAAGTTGTATGTATTTGAAATGTGCAACATGATTTGATCATAACCTCTTCTATCACTGTACCTAGAAACACATTCCTAAAGAGAATTTGTGGACTAGAAGGCAGATGTGAAGAAATAATGTCTGATCCTTAATCCCATGCTGCTCTTTGGCTGTCTATAATCCCACTTGCATCTGCTTGACCCACCTCCTCATCCCCATTCCCTCCTCTTCACATTCTCCCTACATTCATATAAATACACATCCTTGTGGCCAATTCAGCAGCTCTCCATGTACCTGAATCCAGTTCCCAGTCTGTCTGTTTATCCTACTCTTCTGCCTTTGCCAACCAGCCTTTTCCAAGCTCCTGCTTTTCCTGGAGTCCCAGAGTAGCAGTTCACTCATTTAGTGTCCTTTGCTCCAGACTCTGTGCTGGAAATGCCCAACTGTAAGAGCCTGAGAGGGAAGAATATATAGAAACAACAGTTATGGAGCCCTCCCTGGTGGTACAGCAGGTTAATGCACAGCACTATGAAGCTACCCACAGCCACTGCAGCATGAGTTTGATCCCCCACCAGGGAGGTGACCCACATGGTACAGCAAACCTCTCCTGTCTCACCCACTGCTCCCCTCAGCAGTGTATTTCAGTCAATCCACCTGTTCTGTTCCCCACTCTGTCCTTGGTGAATCCTCTCACCCCCTGCACCTCTGGCCTGTACCCCAGTTCTTGTATGCATAAATAAGTAAATAAAAAAAAAGAAACAACAGTTATATGTTATTTACAGAAGCGCCCCTGGCTGGCTGTGGGGTGTGATTGAGCATGAGACTCTGAATCCCAAAGGTTATTGTCAGGAACCTCAGTGCTCCTTCTACAGTGATCTAACTGCCAATGTGATCATTGTAGGTTAAGAGGTGTGGTGGTGCGGGACTGGACGGAAAGGAAATCTGCAAGGAGATTAGTGTGGTGGCTATAGACGTGAAGAACAAAAAGTGTTGGAAAGTTATTTGAGAGTCAGCAAGCTTCAGTGGTGTGCCTGGGACAGTTTAGCAATTCAACTTGTAAAGGGAAAGAAGTCAGCAACGATTTATGGATTTCTGTCCTGGGAAACAGATACACAGTGGTGGTATACGTTCAGGACTAGAAAACACATTTAGAGAGTGGTAACAAGTGGAAATACTGTATTTGGGAATCTTTGAATTTGAGATGTCCTTAGGAGATGACCACTAGGACATGGCGTTTAGGGCTCTAGAACTACACTAAAGCGACATCAGTAGACATTATCAGTGTTGTCCGGCTTGAAAGAAGATCCAGAGTGTGTACTGGAAAGATTAAATCATGTAGAGAAAATTGTAAGGAGAAGAGGTCAAAATAGAAGCTGAGGGTCCTCCCTGGTAGTGCAACAAGTTAAGCACGGCACTATGAAGCTAGCCGTAGCCTCTTCAGCATGAGTTCCATCCCTGGCCAGGGAGGTGCCCCACATGGCGCAGCAGGCCTCTCCTGACCCGCCCGCTGCTCCCCTCAGCAGTGTACTTTGTCAGTCTGCCTGTTCTGCTCCCCACTCCGTCTCTGGTGAATCCTCTCTCCGCCCCTGCACCTCTGGCCTGTACCCCCAGTTCTGTGTGCATAAATAAATAAATCTTAAAAAAAAAAAGAAGAAGAAGAAGAAGCCAAAAAGCTTCTGTTGGGCATAGCAATTAAGAAGACCCAGGTAACAACCTTGGGATGGTTAGGTACCAGGTAGTTGTGCAAATGGAAGCACAAATGTGAAGAAGAGGGAATGGGGATGAGGAGGTAGGTCAAGCAGATGAAGTAGATGCAAGCAGACAGCAAAAGGAGCGACATGGAATTAAGGGTCAGTCACTATTTCTTCAAATCTGCCTTCCAGTCCACTAACCGCCTTTAGGAGTATCTTACCTGCCGCTTCACCATTCTGTCAGTTTTCACTTGTGTCTCTAGTTTCATTTGTAGGAGGTCCGTTTTTAGATAAACCTTTCTCTAGTGCTGCAGCCCTGCTGTTACTCCAGTGTATGCCTTTCAGAATTTTATTTTCTTCGTGTTATTGTCTTTAAAAATTCTCTTCTGAAGTTGTCGGGGCCTCTATCCAGCTGTGTAGTGTCTGCTGGTGACTTTGCTTCCAAAAGCAACTCTATCTTCAGCAGAGGTTTATCTGTAGCTCCTTGGCTTGAGTGAGGGTATACATCCCCACAGAGAGGCTTTATATATGCTTCTTCCAACCACCAAAGCCTGTATCCAACTAGAAACTGCTTCTTATGCTAATCCTTGGTGTAGGGTATATTGCCAAACCAGAAATAGTAAAGTTGTGTGTGTGTGTGTGTGTGTGTGTGTACCTCGGGAGAAGTCTTCTAAAGTATCAGTATCATAAAAGTTAGCATAAGTGAGGCAAAGATTATTGTATTTCCTTCTCGTTTGCCCAAGAGCTATATGTTGTCTTCTAGAATATGATTGCCCAATCAAGTCTTCTGAGATAATGGAAAGGTTGTGTAACTCCTGGGACCATTTTAGAATCTACTAGAAGAAAATGCTCTTGAGCAGTGACATAAGACTAGTGAGGAGCTGTTTTGTTTTTTTTTTTTATCATAATTTGAATTTAAAATAATATAGGACACTGAGTGATAACGTTTTATTACTAATCATACTGTTTTCCCTAGAATTTTTAAAGGGCTATTTAGATACCTTAATAAATAGCTGGCAAATATTTTCCTGAAGCAGTGACTAATGAATTTTTTTTAATAGAAGATAACTATTCCATAAAAGTTTTCAACAACAAAAATGTCTTTCTTCTTTTCACAAATATTTGTCTGTATATCTACACCTGGACATTATCAGTGTTGGTAACTGTACACATTTGTATATAGATCTCATTTTCAACTTTTGGATATGAACTAATCAGTCCATAATTTCAAATAGGACATGGACTTTTGAAACTCAATTACATTTTTGAGAGTCATTTTGCTTGGAGTTAGTGTGCTGTGTGTGCACCCAACTTTTATCATGTTTATATATGACAGATTAAAAACACTTAGCCTGACATTCCCAGAGCAGTTTTTATCAATAATATTTTAGCCACCAAGTCTGAAATATTACTACAAAGGATAATATTTTCATACATGAGTTTTACCTACTGTCCATTGCTCTCAGCTATAGAGCCCTATTAATAATAAAAGAGTTTTGTTTTTAACTGCCAGCAGAATCTTTTTCTACTGAACCACTTACACAGAAACCAAAATTATCAATCTCAAATTTCTGGAGGCCCTGTTTTCTCTCCCTAAATGTCACCATACCTGTGCTTTGCCAAAGGATCGGCTGATGGGAGCTGCCCATAAGGAGAGACTAGGAAATCTGCAGTGCATTGCCCCTTGATAGTCAGTAACTGAGCAAAGCTGCACAATCAGGACAACTGTGCTGTTGATACAAAGAAGAGTCTGCCCAGCCCCTCTGGTTTTGGCTTGACAATTTGGTAGCTGTTTGGAATTTAAACCTGCTATGCTTTTTTATTTTTCTTTCTTTCAATAGAAAAATTGCTTTAATACAATTAGAAAGAATATAGTTTCCACATGAAGCCCCTGATGTTACCCATCCCTTGAGTGGGTAGATGCCTGAAGTGGCAGAGGGTGGTTAATTATGGAAATCTCAGGCATACGAAAATAGAAATAATAGAACAAATGCTCAAATCTCCATCCAGCTTCAAATCTAGTTCCACATAGATGATTTTGTTTATATGCCCTCTACATTTCTTCCTCCCTCCCCTTGGCTTAGTTTAAAACTAGTTCTAGGAGTTTCCAGGTTGGTGAACACATAGAGATTTGGGGAGATGAGCATGCTCATAGAGGACCTGGAATCTCTACACCTTTCCCTATATAGCCTCACCCTGGGCACCTCTTGCTACTGGCTGTTGATTCGTGTGAACCTCTACCCCCTAACCATATAGAGAGCTGCAAATCAGAACATCCTCAATTTAAGAAAACGCAGATTCCAGATATTATCACCTTTTTGCATATAAACAGCTCAGCTCCAAAAGATGAATATCTTAAAGTATAACTTCAATTCCATCACACTTGTAAAAATTCACAGTAACTCTTCACTGTATATCCAAACTATTTCCCCAGGTGTCTCATAAGTATCTCTTTCCATTGTTTCTTGATCAGGATCCAAATGAAAGTCAAACTTTGCCATTAATTGTTCTGTCCCTTAAGTCTTGCTCAGGCTATGGGCTCTCCTTCCCTCTCTATATCCGATATTCCCCACCCCCTTTTTCTTGTATTTTATTTGTTATCAGAGTTCCCGGCACTTGGCATTTGGGTCATGGCATTCCATGGTGTCCACTATGTTTCCTGAGAGCTTGATCAGGTTCAAGTCCAATTTTGACCAGGCTCTTCCTAGGTGGCCTCTCCCATGAGTCTATCATATCAGGTTGTCGCTCTGACGGGTATGGTAGCCCTTAGCCATCATTGCTTATATCATGAGTTTTGACAGTAGTTACAATTCTGTGATTCCCATCTTCGGTCTTCAATAGAATATGTCTGTCCAGATAAAGTCCCTGTAGTTATCTTTGTGGTCCTCATGAAACTGATGTCTCCCCTCTCCCTCAGGTCCTGTGTGAACGGCACCCTTGTGTGTAACCCTACCCAGCTGTGGCACGGTGACCGAATTCTGTGGGGAAATAACCACTTCTTTAGGTAACATCTTTGTGGTCACTGATATTTTCCTGAACTTTTTTTTGTCATCTGAGTGAAAAACAAGTTGATGGTTTTTCAATGGTGAAATGTCCCTGCAGAATTAATTTACCTAAGAGGAAACGGCGAGACTGGTTGAAAGATTTTGAAAAAGAAACAGGCCCTCCAGAGCACGACTTAGACGCTGCCAGTGAAGCTTCCTCAGAACCAGACTATAACTATGAATTTGCCCAGATGGAAGTTATCATGAAAACGCTCAACAGTAACGGTAAGACCCTAACTGGGTTCCTCTGTTCTGGGCTGGCCTTTTCTCATTCCACTCAGCAAGAGAGTCTGAGTGTACCGAGTTCAAGTGTCATTCTGAAATTCAGACATAAAAAGTGCCACCTGGGAGAGGTTGTCCACAATATTCCAAGGCCTGGTCAGCTCCCTCTGCTGTTACCAGCAGGTAGACAGTCCCCTTTCTCGGCCACCCTTTTCCCAAGCCAGTTGTGTCAACTGAATGTCACCAGTACTTATCAAGTTTCCATCATGGGGCCTGTCCCTTCTGCATCATTTAGACTGAGAAAATGCCCAGAAGGATGTAAACCCAACAATTTCAAATGGAGTCAGATGGAGAGATGAACATCACAATTCAGTGGGAACTATATTCCCCAAAAGACTTACAAAAATACACCCAGGTCATGATTACAAAAATGATACCTAAATAAATGCTTTATGGGCTCTTTATTGACCTGTGCTCCCACCTGTCTCAGATCAGGATGAGATTCTCCTTAAAGGGTCTCCACAGACCTCCTTCAAGAAGGTTCTCATTGGTCATATTAAAATCCTTGCTCTCTCTGTCTACAAGGAAGTCCTCTTCCTGTTCTGTGCCGATAAACACTTCCATGCACTCAATAAAATACAAGCCAAATTCTTTGCTCGCTTGCTGTTTTAGAAATCTGCTTCTTCCTTTCTCTAGCTCCCAGTCTTCCAGTCATCCCCAGGCTTGGTACCCAGAAACCAGACGCAGGATAGGAAGGCTGTCGTGTTACCAGGCACATGATAATCTTTCTGGTTCTACACCTGTCTTACAAGGATAAAGTTCAGGCTGCCTGCAGAAGCACCCAGGAAACTTAGTTTGTGGACTTTGTTTACTCTCACTGTCCCTTCGTCTGTTCTGTGTATGCCTGTGCTTCCTCAACTTGGATGAGGGAGCACTTCCAAGAACCTCGAGAAAACCTTCTACATGACAGGGTGTTAGAGAGCATTTTGTTTATCGCAGTTGGACTTTAACCTTAAAAACCTTTATTTTCTCACTCTATGAACGAGCCAATTTGGGAAGAATTTGAGTGGGATAGAGAATCGTCAAACAGATCTCTGGCATTTCAGATTGAGGATTCTGCTGCTGAAATAAAGATGTCCTTATTTATCTCTAAGGATTTTTAACCTCAGCACCCCTATTTTTTTTTAATTTTATAATAGTTTATTCTTACACATTTTTGTGCATTTTTCCATCTCAGTTGCAATCCCCTAAGGTTTCCCATCACCAGATCATCCATGTGCCATCACCATAGTCCAGTCAGCACCCCTATTTTTAATAAAAATGAAGTATGAAGAAACAGCCGGGTTGAAAACAAGTGACTTAGTGAAGGAGAAAAAAAATAAGTTCATGAAGGGAGTTTGGTAGCTTCTCTTTTTGAACATCCTTAAGATTAGAAAGTATGATAGCTGTCAGGGTAGCTCTTTTGACATAGAATCTTGGGGTGGGGTACAGCTAGAAAATTAGTCCACTCTGCTAAATCCTATTACTAGGTCATCTAACAACTTACCTGAGCAATAAAGCTGATTTCTTGGAAACAGTGAATACAGGGTGTGACAGGAGGGCGTGGGCCCCAAAGTCCAGCTGGAGGAAAGCCCATTGGAAGAGAACTTTCTTCAGATGAGGCTATAAAGGTTATAGATGTTTCTGTTGTCTGACTCTGCAGGTATCAATTTAAACAGGTATCGTCCCACATCGCACGTTTCTAATTGTATCCTATTACAATATACCTATTCTAAAAACCCTGGAATAATCCATGAGCATTTAGACAACACATGTTAATTCCTCCAGTCCTTGTAGCTATACCAATTAGTCATTAGTGATCTGGCTCGTGATATTAACATGAGTCACCCATTTGCATTCCAGATCAGACTTTACCTGCCAGTGCTGATTTTTTATATTTAACACTAGTGTTTCCCCTTCCTCACTCTTTCCAAAGTCCCACTGGTGAATGGCACTTCCCTGGGGGCTGCACAGATGTTCCCAGACACAGGTGCTAAGATGCTGGTGGCCACATAGTGCTCACGTGACCCCCTCTGCTACTAGGTGGCTTCCCGATAATAAGCCTGTCTGCCTGGTGGTCATCCCCTTGGTGGTCCTATTTGAAGATCCTCTTCCCTCTCCTGTGGTTTCAGACGAAGCTCCTTCACAAACACTGGGATAAAGGTGTAACTGGTTGACATTAGCATGAGGGGGCGTGGCTAGTTTGAGCAGGGCTGCTGATTGTGCTACCTGCTTTGGCAAAATGCAGCTTGATTGGGAAGAAGCTGAAGCTCCTGCCTGGCAGTGGCATGCTGTATTCTTGATGAAGGAATGTGCCCTTCGCAACTTACATCCCTGCCTTCCCCTTGTCCTGATTCCTTTACCTTTCCGGTGGCAAAAGGCCGATGGCTGTTCTTCTCCCTCTGCTCCCAATAACTCATTATTGTTACTGTGGTTACTGTAACTCATAACTTCACTACCTTTGCGAGTACAGCAGTGAGGACATAGATTGTATTCATTGCCCTAATCTAGGAATAAACTAGAATAGTGCACTTTAGGGTAAATAATGATCTCAACCCCAATTCATTTGAAATCAGACAAACCTACTCTCTATGACCAATAGAAACGCCTAACTGGAAACCTGCTTCCAGACCCCAAGATACCTCTAAGATGAGTTCGTGGAGCCAGCTGCTTCCATTTGAGGTGAAACGTTCTTTTCTCCCCAATAGAGCTGCCTCTTTTCAGTTTAGCACTTCAAGAGAATCTTAGCGAGAATTAATTATAATTTACTTTATCACATCACTGCTTCCGGCCACCACCACCGTCACACTTTCTTTTTATTTCTGGGGACAGATAAATAACTTGGGGACAGTTGAACTTGTTTCATAATTACAGGCCAAGTTAAGAATGAACTTAACAAAGAGGAGGAGAAGGTGCTATTTCCAAAGTAACTGTGGTCCTTTGCTTCTCCTGGAAATACCCCCCTCTTAAGTGCCAACCTTACTGAATTCTAAAAAAAAGAAGAAAATGATGGGGGTGGCGGGTAAAACTGGGCAATCTGTTGATAGGTGCTTGTTTGAGACTAGGCCAAATAATCTTTGGCTTCTGTCCTAGGCCTCTTCATAGAGTAACTTGCTAATTAGCGTGATCTGTTTAAATACATGCTGTGTAGTGATAAAGACTTGAAGATGTTAATTAATTGCAAAGGAAATGTTATTAAATATGTCTAGGAGAATAGTGTTTCCAGATTGGTGCTGGGATCAGAGGCTAAAAAAATTCTCAGCCCCTGCAATGCTTCTGCTTGGGCTGTGGGGTGCCGGGGCTGGTCCTGGGGTCTCCGGGGCCACACTGTTCCTGGCAGGTCAGGGGAGAGATGCTTTGAGTGGCTCTCTCTTCCCGGCCTGCTTGGTGGTCTGTGGCCACTGAGTCGTGAGAGTGCTGTGTTCTGGCTGCTTCCACCACCCCTTTCTCATCTCTGCACTGACATGACACCTAGTTGAATTCCTCCACCTCAACCACCTGTAATCATGTGTGTTTCTATGCCACACTGAATGGCAGGTAGAAATAAGGGTTAAATATCTTCAGTGCCTTTTCACAAAAGCCCTAGAATCTAATTTTATAAAATGGTGTGTCTTCTAGTTTTTTCTCTCTTCAAGGTAGATCCCTTGAAGATAAGGCACTATACAAGTATAAATAGATAGTAAGGAGCTTGCCCTTTCTTTTTTAAACTCAGAGCCTAAGAGTAAAGACATAGTGTTTCAGGAATATATTTTTTCAAAACCTTAGAGAACTTTTCTTTTAAAACCTTATGTTTAAAATTCCTTCAGTATTCTTCAAAAAAGTTCATGGTTTTGTTCCTATTTTTATAAGTTATACTGCTGTCTCACAAGTTTTACTGCTTCAGAGTGCATGTTTTTTTCACTGTGTAGAAAAGATTTTACCTACCTACCCGTGGTCTGCATTTGTGTAAGTGGTTTCCTTTTTAGGAATTCTTTGCCCCTCAATTTCTAAGTCATGTATTTCAGAGACTCTATATGAGGATGCTATGAAGAAATCTATCCTGTTTGGGGGAAAAGGGTGAATTTTAGAACATTTACATCCCAGGGTATGGTAGTTTTTTAAAATATCTACTCTTTAGCAGAGTACTAGTCTTGAGCAAGACATTGAAGGTAAGAATACTACATCAGTTTACTGCTAATTTTCGGTCCTGTGCCTAGACAATTAACTCTGATCTGAGTTTAAAACCTGGCTCAGTTGCTTATGATCTGTGTGATCTTTGGTCACGTTTCTGAGCCCCGCATTTTTCATCTCTAAAATGGGAATGCGAGCCGCCTTAGGTCTGTCACAAGGCTTCCATGAGATGAAAGTAAAACATGCAGCCCTCCCTCTACCTAAAATACACGCAGCGTCTCAGGATTATTACATGTGGATTATTACATGTCCTTTCTACTAAAACAACTTACCTGTACCGTGCATACCTTGTAAATTCTTAAAATGCTTCCTACTTCTGGTTTTGTGTTCTTTAACCATATTTCTAAGCTAACCTGCTACCTTTTTCTCTTACTGCTCATGTAGAAAATGAGTATGACTGGTATGTTCATTGCACAAATTGATAGGTCTTCTGAAATAGTCAGTAGCCAACTCTTGCTATTTTAGTCCCCATTCTTATCCTGGAAATTAAATTGAGAGTCCATATGTGGGAGTAAAACACATAGGTAGCAAGCACAGGGGTGAATGAGTGACTTTCCACCTACTCTGAACATATAAAGGCATCTCTTTCAGCTCCCAAAATACTCAAGTATTTACTGGGGTGTCGGGGAGCTTTTCCTGATTACCATGCAGATATCTAACATGCTGTTTCCCTGCAGTGTCCTTCCCTAGAGGGGCTGCTGACTTTCTGGAAGTGCCTGCATCTCCCTCCCTGGCTTCCAGATCATGTCCTGCTGCAGGCACTAACCTTTCAGGACTGCGTCCTACCTACCGTGTCCCCTGTCACCACCATCAGTCACCTCTCCACCTGTTCCCCACATGGATGGTACAGATCCACCGGAGTTGTGACAGCAGAAATCCCAAATAGCCTTTTTTTTTTTTTTCAAGTGAACTTCCCTTCTCTTTTCACTTCCTTTTTGCAAGTGAATTGCCTCTGGGGTATTAGCACCTGAGAGCCTACCACACCTGTATACTCAGTCCTTATTTTAAACCTATGTGTGATTTGTACATTTTCTCCCACATTAGGGAAATTCAGGGCTAGTCATATTGGTGATTAGCATCAGAAATAGAAACGCTTGACTCTATGCCAAAATGGATCCAAATAGGCACAGGAATGAACTACCTGCCTCGTGGGGCGCTCTCTCTGAAGTTACCCTAAGTTTCAAATTTTTCTTTTTGGGCCCTTCCTGGTGGCGCAGTAGGTTAAAGTGCAGCTAGGTAAGGCTATCACCAGCCCCCTACAGTGCGAGTTTGATTCCTGGCTAGGGGGCTGACCCACATGGTGCAGCAGCCTCCACCCCAGCTCTTGTCTGCATAAATAAATAAAATCTTTTTTAAAGAGAATTTTTCTTCTTGGTGGTCAAGGTCCCATGCCCTTTCCTCTGCTTTCTGCTCACAACATGTCGAATGGAAGCGAGTACCAGGCCAGATGTGGGCAGTGTTCACACATAGGGCATCCGGCCAAAATACTAGCAAAGAGAAAACTGAGAGCATTTCCCTTGCTGGCCCCTCAGCCTCACGCAGAAGGTGAGCACTGAAGTCACTTTGCCTTGTCTCTTGCTCACCAGACCCAGTTCAGAACGTGGTTCAGGTCCTGGAGAAACAGTACCTGGAGGAGAAGCGGAGCGCGCTGGAGGAGCAGCGACTCATGTACGAGCGGGAGCTGGAGCGGCTCCGCCAGCAGCTCTCTCCTGAGCGGCAGAGCCAGAGCAGCGGCCCCGACCGCCTGGCCTACAGCAGCCAGACCGCCCAGCAGACGGTGACCCAGTGGGCGGAGGAGAGGTAAGGACCCGCCACTGCGGAGTGGCAAGGGGGTGGGGCGGGGATAAGC